GAACCACAGAGGCAGTTTTCCCCAGAAGCTATTTGCAGAGGTGGCTGGTTTCACCTGATAACCTGAGGTTCTCCACAATGAGAATCTGTTTCAAATGGAAAGGAGTTTGTTTAATGACTTCTAGGACCTAGTGAAAAGCCTGCTTCCCACACTGAAGGCAGGGAAGAGTCTTACTGAGGTCCACTCTGGCCCCAGGCATAGCATCCTCCAGGGCAAGTGGGTGAGTATGCGTTGTCGGAAGCCAGGAGAGACCACGGGGACGGTTAAAAGTCTCAGAAATGTGCTATTCAAATGTGTAGCAAGCACCTTGCGAGAAAAACCCCAGCCTCACCAGCCATCGCAGGAACACGAGCAAGACCACAGATGGGACTGTCCTTGGAGCCCGCGGGGCTGTGAATGGAGTGAAGTTAACGCCAGATCTGTCCGCAGAGAAGAGAGAAGGGCATACATGTGGGAACACTTCCAACACCTGCCTGGGCCTTCCTCTTGCCTTCTGAAACATCCTGCCCTCTGTCTATGGAATGTGTAGCTCTGAATTATTTACTTCTAACTAAAAAAAAAAAAAATAGCTGTGTCCTTCTTAACAGTTATCCTCAAAGCCACACATTGGTTGATTTGTGGGCTTCGTGGCTTTCTCTCAATGCTGTGAGAGCCTCTAATTTTGTACCTTTAAAGCTGTAGGAAGGGCCATAGCCTACACTGTCTTCATAGTTAGCCGTGTGCACAGAATTCATGGCTTATGTTCCTCCCCTCAAATCTACGGCATTCCAGTATCTAGAACTGACCATGCTGACTAGTCTGTAGATGTGTTTATTTCTGCTTAGCCTTCTTGGATCGAGGCTGCATATGTTTCTCAATAAGCAGTTTATACTCTGCTACTGCCTGAAGCTCTGATCTGGCCTCTTCCTCCCCATGTTACCATCCACAGAGGTTGGACCTCCTCTCCCACCAACAGCCCAGTCACCCCCAATTCCCAGTTTCTGTCCCACTGCCACTGCTGCTGGAGCCAGCTCTTAATAGGACAAAGAATGGGATTGGCTGGGGTGAGAAGAGATGCAGAGTTGTGAAGAATCAGTCATGTTTGACTCAACTTTCTCATTCTCAATTCAGAGAGAATCGCTCTGGCTTTATACATCAGTCTCTTATGAGTTGGACAAGTATGCGTCATTTTACCCTGCCTGCTCTCTTCAGGTAAAAATCACCCTTTTTAGGGCAACGGAATTGGGGGCCTCTTGGCAGAGGCAAACTCTGCATTTATTTCATTTTGTCTTTATAGGAAACAATGCTTGTTCCAAATTTTAGATTCTCATGGGGGGAGTGGAAAATTCCACTTAGGCTCTATGGTCCCAGGCTGAACTCTTCTTTCCAGTCCAAACAAGGACGCCTGAAATAAGCCCCTGACCCAGGTACTGGCCTGGACCCTAGCAGGATGGACTTTCATATCGGGTCAGCTAGCATTCCTGCAGGACAGGCCCTGAGATGGGCCTCGATGGAGAAGGGTCAGAAGTTGGACCCAGCACCCCTAGCTCCTTGCACAAACAATCCAATTCCAGTTTAAACAGGAACTGAACTATGAAAAACATTTTACCCCTGAGGACAGGTACATGCAAATAAGGTGAGGCAGAACAAGGAAAACCCGTTCGCCTTGTCTTAAGCACCCAGGGCTACTTACCTCTGTCAGCGCTGAGGACATCTCTGCGCATGTATTTCCTCGGGAGCCGCTTCTCATGACTCACAAACCTCCTTGCATGAAGGGAGGACTGATGTTATGTTCTATCACAGTCTGCCTCTGGACGAGAGGACTGGTGCCCGGGGGTTGCCTGTCCCCCACAGGTGAGCCCAGAGCTGAGAACCTTGACTCTCAAAAACACAAACCGATTTCATGAGCAACTGACAGCCAGCTGCCCATCAGCAAGTCTGCATGACACTTGTGTTGTTGCAATCCAGAGCTGCAGTGTCTAGTTAGTTCAAGCCGTATCTCTTTCATATGAGTACTCCAGAAGACGCGTTCTGCTTGCACCCCTGTTACTTGATTTCTGCACAGAAAAGCCAGTTTAGAAAGCAAACAAGTGGAAAGTTGAGACTTGGTGACAGGATGGAGAGCCTAACCTTTGTCACTACAGTTCCACATAAGCCCTCTCCTTGCCAGGGTTCTAACAGTAAAAGATTCTTATTCTTCTCTCCTTGACCTGCATTGTTTCCACAAAAGCTCGTTACCTTTAAGTTGTCCTCCATTCAGCTCGATCTAGTTTAAAAGGAGAGACAACACTAGCTATCATTTGTTGGGTATGCAGGCAGCTCCACCTCTGTGTCTTCATTCATTCCTCAAACCAGCCCTGCAAGTGAGGGATGAGAGGCCTCAGGTCATGGTGGCGGGTGACTCACTCCCAGCCCTCGGGCGATGGAGCCCGGCATCCACTACATCCTGGCCAGAGGACACGCGGGTACCAAACGGGCTTGGCTGGGCTGCTCCAGTTTGGTGTTGTGAGGAGAGGCACCGGCAATCTTCCCTTCCCCTGGATGTCTTATCTGTGATGGAGCAAGTCTGGGAGGTTCTTCCGAGCTGAGAAGAAAGGCAGCCACAGCACTGAGTTTACAACAGGTTCATCTTGAATTCACTTGCTTTCAATGAAGTAAATATTCTAGGCTAGGAATTATCGAGGACTGAAAAGAAAACCTGTTTTTCCCCCTAGAAGCTGATCGGAATTCAGGTGATGGGTTAGGCAGAATCAATGTCAAAGAAACAGTGTGATTCAGCAGTGACACATGTAGCTGAGTATCAGTTCTGTTCATCTGTGAAATGGGAATGTTATCATAAACCTGGCTCTCAAGGGTGTGGCCAAATTGATGCCTTCAAGGCGCCTTGGCAACTTTGGAAGAAAGCAAGGCATCACTGGTCATTTCATTTCTGCATTCTTAGATTTCATTGTGTTCATTAAAGACTCACCAGAGCCGGGCATCAGGGATGTAATGAGTGCTTGAAATCCTCCGGAAGGAGAAACTCAGGGAGCCAGGAACACAGATAAGCAGTACCGTTAATCTGGATCCTAATAATTATGTAGCCCGCCCTGGGAGCAGGCATCGAGGTGAGAATGTAGTGGGTGTCTGTGGAGGCATCAGTATGAGCAGGAGCCAGGTTGGTCCACATTGATGATAGAGGACACCGAGCGCTGCCAGGTCACCCCTCACGTCCTGGGGAAATGCACCAGGGCTCCACGTGGAGTCAGATGTGAGCCACCAGGACCAGAACAGCCCCCAGGGCTCAGTGTTGAGCTGGGCAGCAGGGAATATGAAACCTTGATTAAACATTTAAATTGGAAATTAGGACACTGTGTCTACTGGAGTTTGTCCTAAAACACTCTTTGTTACTCAGAACAGAATTTCCTGTTATTTGTGTTTTAAAATTAACATAAACCAAGTCATGAAAAGAAGGAAATTCATCTTGACTTAGAAAATGGGCAGAGTGCCCGTCAGTCACGCGGGAAGAGGTGGTTCAAGATGGATCAAATGCATGATCAAAGGCACAGAGGCAAAAGATTTGAAGACATAATCAAGGACCAGAAAATACACAAACTTGGCTGGAGAAGAGGTTTGGGTGGGAGGAAACAAACAAACAAACAAACAAAACACTGGAAAGTAGGTTGCAACCAGATTGTGGAGGTCTTGGCATGTAGAGCTGAGGAGCTTGAATCCCTTCCTTTGAGCGATAAGACAGAGGATGCAACTTGCCTGTTCAGGAGCCATCTCCCCCTCTTCCTTAGCAGAATTTTACTGGGGTAGCATTACATCTCATCCAAACACCACATTCCCAGCTTGCGTGTGACTGAGGTCTGCACCGTGAGCTGGAGGTGGAAGCGCTGGGTGGGATGTCTCAGAAGGCTAATGAAGAGATTGATGGAGCCATGAGGTGGGCCCCCTCCACCCTTCTGCCTCTCCACTTTCTATTGTTTTCAGACAAATGTGATGCCTGCTGCCTTGTAGGAGACGACCTTGAGAGTAAAAGCCATGTACCGGGAAGGTGGAACAAAAAGAAAGGGATAGTGGCACGTGGAAGCCTTGTACAAAGTTTTCTTAGCATAAAGCAGAACCAGTGTTTGTGGAACACACGATGGGAAAGGCTGCTGTAGGGATATGAAGTCGTGGACGCATTTGGAGCAGAAGACAGGCGTGATTCAAGTCTGCACAGGCGTTTGAGGGGACTTGGAAGCACAAAGAAGCATGAACGCCGGCAGCCAAGAGAGTAAGTCAGAATTAAAGTGGGTTGAGTCGGAAAAGAGAGATGTTTCCCAGGACAAAGTAGAAGATGAACAACTGTACTGATGGGATTCGCCACGTTGCTAAAGCGTGAAGGCAGGAGGAGAACTTCATTGGCAAGAGGGTTTGGGCGAAGCAAAAATAACGCCACATGCAATGGGTTCAAGTGTCAGTGGGAGACCCAGGGAACCTCTTCCGTAGATTGCTGGAGAGACAGAGCTGGGGTTGGGAAACTACGAGGTTTGGATTTGGGATCTTCTGTTTAGAGGTGACTTTTGAAGACGGAGTGCGGGTGGAAAGGAGAGAACATGGAGGACTCGGAAGGACACACTGACCGTTACAGCAGGAATGCTGCCGTGTTGAGCCGTTTTGTCTCTTGGGTCCAAACCCGCCCGTCTTTGTCCGGCCTTGTGATGCTGGCCTGGGCCCTGTAAACGGTTCTCCTCTTCTGGCTGCTGGACTGTGAGGTGCATCAGAGGGGGGCGCTGAGTGCCCCTGGGGGCCTCGGTAGCGGGAAGACCCTCCCCTTCTGGGTTCCCGTTTTCATTATTACTCAGCCTGGGAGCCCAGCAGCCCCAGCAGAGGAGTCGGTGCTGGTGTGGAGCTACCCCAGGCCACACTCTCCCCGCCAGCCTGCCCCCGCCCGCTGTCCCCCGCTCGGCCCAGCCGCCCCTCCGGACCG